AATAAAGAAATCAGCCGAAGAGCCAGAAACGAATATGCACAGATTAAAAGGGAGGCTCAGAGACAATATGAAAATGACATAGCATCAAAAGTAAAGACTGACCCAAAGTTTGTAAGCCACATCAGGAGGGAAAAAACAACAGTCAAGGACCAGGTAATCAGACTGAGGAAGGGTGATGGGGAATTCACAAGAAACGACCAAGAGGTATGTCAGGAGCTCAACACAAGATTTAAAGAGGTATTTACAGTGGAAACCAGTAAGACTCCAGGAAATCAGAACAGGGGGGCACACCAGCAAGTGCTGGATGAGGTACATATAACCAAGGAGGAGGTGAAGAAGCTGCTATGCGAACTTGACACCTCAAAGGCGGTGGGACCAGACAACATCTCTCCATGGGTCCTTAAAGCGGGAGCAGAGATATTGTGTGAGCCATTAACAAAGATCTTCAACACATCATTTGAAACTGGGCAACTCCCTGAGGTATGGAAAATGGCAAATGTAGTCCCAATTTTTAAAAAGGGAGACAGACATGAGGCACTAAACTACAGACTTGTATCACTAACGTGTATAGTATGCAAGCTCATGGAGAAGATCATCAGGAGGAGAATGGTGGGGCACCTGGAAAGAAACAAGTGTATAATTGACAACCAGCATGGTTTCAGGGAAGGAAAATCCTGTGTCACAAACTTACTCGAGTTTTATGACAAGGTGACAGAAGTAAGACAAGAGAGAGAGGGGTGGATCGACTGCATATTTTTGGACTGCAAGAAGGCCTTCGACACAGTTCCTCACAAGAGGTTACTGCAAAAGCTAGAGGATCAGGCACACATAACGGGAAAAAGGCACTGCAAGGGATCAGAATATCTGACAGGGAGGCAACAACGAGTCATGGTACGTGACGAGGTGTCAGAGTGGGCGCCTGTGACAAGCGGGGTTCCACAGGGGCCAGTCCTAGGACCTGTGCTGTTCTTGGTATATGTGACGACATAACGGAAGGGATAGACTCAGAAGTGTCCTTGTTTGCAGATGATGCGAAGTTAATGAGAAGAATCAAATCGATGAGGATCAGGCAGGACTACAAAGAGACCTGGACAGGCTACAAGCCTGGTCCAGCAACTGGCTCCTTGAATTTAACCCTGCCAAATGCAAAGTCATGAAGATTGGGAAGGGCAAAGAGAAGACCGCAGACACAATATAGTTTAGATGGCCAAAGACTGCAAACCTCACTCAAGGAAAAAGATCTGGGGGTGAGTATAACACCGAGCATATCTCTTGAGGCGCACATCAATCAGATAACTGCTGCAGCATACAGGCGCCTGGCAAACCTACGGATAGCGTTCCGATACCTCAGTAAGGATTCGTTTAAGACTCTGTATACCATTAACTTCAGGCCCATACTGGAGTATGCAGCACCAGTTTGGAATCCACACCTAGTCAAGCACGTCAAGAAATTAGAGAAGGTGCAAAGGTTTGCAACAAGCCTAGTCCCAGAGCTACGGGGATTGTCCTATGAAGAAAGGTTGAGGGAAATCAGCCTGACGACACTGGAGGACAGGAGGGTCAGGGGAGACATGATAACGACATATAAAATACTGCGCAGAATAGACAAGGTGGACAAAGACGGGATGTTCCAGAGAAGGGACACAGACACAAGAGGTCACAATTGGAAGTTGAAGACTCAGATGAATCAAAGGGATGTTAGGAAGTATTTCTTCAGTCATAGAGTAGTCAGGCCGTGGAATAGCCTAGAAAGTGAAGTAGTGGAGGCGGGAACCATACATAGTTTTAAGGCGAGGTATGATAGAGCTCATGGGGCAGGGAGAGGACCTAGTAGCAATCAGCGAAGAGGTGGGGCCAGGAGCTGTGACTCGACCCCTGCAACCACAAATAGGTGAGTACACACACAACAGAACTGCAGGAGGCCAAGACAGGAATATGAAGAGAGCAACAGAGCAATGGTGGACAAACTGGCAAGAAGAGCTTACTCGAGTAGAGCAAAGTTAATGGTTATGGGCAATTTCAACCACAGGGAGATCAATTGGGAATATCTGGAGCCACACAGAGGTCCTGAAACATGGAGAACCAAGATGATGGACGTGGAACTGGAAAACCTCATGCATCAACATGTTAAAGACACTACAAGAGAGAGAGGGGAGGATGAACCAGCAAGACTGGACCTCGTGTTCACCCTGAGCAGTTCAGACATCAAGGACATCACCTATGAGAGGCCCCTTGGAGCTAGTGATCACGTGGTTCTGTGCTTTGAATACATAGTAAAGTTACAAGTGGAGAGGGTAACAGGAGTTGAATGTAGTCCCCATAAGATAAGATAAGATAAGATTTCGATCGGATTTTTAACCCTGGAGGGTTAGCCACCCAGGATAACCCAAGAAAGTCAGTGCGTCATCGAGGACTGTCTAACTTATTTCCATTGGGGTCCTCAATCTTGTCCCCCATGATGCGACCCACACCAGTCGACTAACACTAACAATAGGTGTAAGGAAACGTGTCGAAATGTTTCCACCCGCCGGGAATCGAACCCGGGCCCTCCGTGTGTGAAGCGGGAGCTTTAGCCACCAGGTCACCCCATATATATATATATATATATATAATATATTATATATTATATATATATATATATATATATATATATATATATTATATATATATATATATATATATATATATATTTATTTCAACAAGTCGGCCGTCTCCCACCGAGGCAGGGTGACCCAAAAAAGAAAGAAAATCCCAAAAGAAAATACTTTCATCATCATTCAACACTTTCACCACACTCGCACATTATCACTGTTTTTGAAGAGGTGCTCAGAATACAACAGTTTAGAAGCATACACATATAAAGATACACAACATATCCCTCCAAACTGCCAATATCCCAAACCCCTCCTTTAAAGTGCAGGCATTGTACTTCCCATTTCCAGGACTCAAGTCCGACTTTATGAAAATAACCGTTTCCCTGAATCCCTTCACTAAATATTACCCTGCCACACTCCAACAGATCGTCAGGTCCAAGTATACCATTCGTCTCCATTCACTCCTATCTAACACGCTCACGCACGCTTGCTGGAAGTCCAAGCCCTTCGCCCACAAAACCTCCTTTACCCCCTCTCTCCAACCCTTTCGAGGATGACCCCTACCTCGCCTTCCTTCCCCTATAGATTTATATGCTTTCCATGTCATTCTACTTTGATCCATTCTCTCTAAATGACCAAACCACCTCAACAACCCCTCTTCTGCCCTCTGACTAATACTTTTATTAACTCCACACCTTTTCCTAATTTCCACACTCCTAATTTCCACACATTGCCCTTAAACGGGACATCTCCACTGCCTCCAACCGTCTCCTCGCTGCTGCATTTACCAACGAAGCTTCACACCCATATAAGAGTGTTGGGACTACTATACTTTCATACATTCCCTTCTTTGCCTCCATAGATAACGTTTTTTGACTCCACATATACCTCAACGCACCACTCACCTTTTTTCCCTCATCAATTCTATGATTAACCTCATCCTTCATAAATCCATCCGCCGACACGTCAACTCCCAAATATCTGAAAACTTTCACTTCTTCCATACTCCTCCTCCCCAATTTGATATCCAATTTTTCTTTATCTAAATCATTTGATACCCTCATCACCTTACTCTTTTCAATGTTCACTTTCAACTTTCTACCTTTACACACCTTTCCAAACTCATCCACTAACCTTTGCAATTTTTCTTTAGAATCTCCCATAAGCACAGTATCATCAGCAAAAAGTAACTGTGTTAATTCCCATTTTGAATTTGATTCCCCATAATTTAATCCCACCCCTCTCCCGAACACCCTAGCATTTACTTCTTTTACAACCCCATCTTTAAATATATTAAACAACCATGGTGACATATATATATATATATATATACAGTGGACCCCCGGTTAACGATATTTTTTCACTCCAGAAGTATGTTCAGGTGCCAGTACCGACCGAATTTGTTCCTATAAGAAATATTGTGAAGTAGATTAGTCCATTTCAGACCCCCAAACATACACATACGAACACACTTACATAAATACACTTACATAATTGGTCACATTCGGAGGTAATCGTTATGCGGGGGTCCACTGTATATATATGTATATATATATGTCGTGCCGAATATGTAAAACTGGTCAATTAGCAAGAACTCATTTAAAATTAAGTCCTTTCTGAAATTTTCTTTTATACGTTTAAAGATATATTTTTTCATTAATGTTAATGTAAAAATTTTTAATTTTGCACCAAAAGAATCTCAGAAAATTTACCTAACCTTATTATAACAAGAACAATTTATTTTAGCCTAACCCAACTAAATATATTTTAGATTTGTTTACAATAATTTAATACTAAACAGACACAGTGAAATATGTTTTTTTCGTTAGGTTCAGAATGATTTTGGCGAAATTATTGCATACACATATTTTCACTTGTCCTATATGGCAAGATGAACGTTGCTATTTAAGCCAAGATCGCAAGTTCTGCCTATTCGGCATGACAAAATATATATATATATATATATATATATATTATATATATATATATATATATATATATATATATATATATATATATAATTTATATATATATATATATATATATATATATATATATATATACACCCCTCTTCTATTTTCTTACTAGTTCTTGTTCTTGTTTATTTCCTCTTATCTCCATGGGGAAGTGGAACAGAATTCTTCTTCTGTAAACCATGCGTGTCGTAAGAGGCAATTAAAATGCCGGGAGCAAGGGTTTAGTAACCCCTTTTCCTGTATACATTACTATACATTCTTTTTGGGACACCCTGCCTTGGTGGGATATGGCCAGTTTGTTGAAAGAAGAAAGAATGGGTTTCAGTTTTGCTCTTGTTAAAAAGGGATAATAGGGGAAGATCTTTTGTTACAAAATTCTTTGTTAATGATTATCCAGTTGAGCATATTCAGTGTGTTAAAGTTCTCAATAACACGTGAAATGTAAAACAGTGTAAGAGGAAGAAAGATGAAGAGGAAAGATGAAAAAATAAGTTAACCAAACCTGTTGCCTTTTATTTTGAGCATATGCCAAAGTGCCATCAAAAGGCTTCATCTTCTCAAACTGCATATCTGTATAATCAAGCTTCTGAACTAGCATGCCACCTGAGGAAACTGTCACTACACGTGGTTTCTCGCTTCTGAAAAAATGAGTTTTAAATTAAACAATTCTATTAGTGTCATGTTTGTTATACACACTCATTTCTACATAAATATATATTTTTCTGCAATTGGTTCAAGCCTATCCTTAATATAAAACTACAACAAAAATTAGTAAGTCAAGTACAAATTTATATTACTCTTTCTTGATAGTTTTCTTGGCTACACTTGGATAGTAGCTCCACTTAGCAACTGCTAAATATTCATAAACAATGCAATCACTGCCTCATTCTTCTTTATTTGTGCTTATCTTTTTTTTTAATGTGTTCCTTCTTTTGTTCCCAAACTATAGGTTTCAAGTGTATTTATTATAAAAGGCAATACAGTAAGCCATATAGTACAGTAAAAATTTGCAAATGAAAACATCAAATTCTAGGTTTACTAATGGCCATCTGATAATTTGCTAAAATACAATTATATTCATGGAGAAGTATGATACCTTGGAAATGGGAGGTAATCATATCTGATCAAAGAAAGGGAGAGTAACTCCAATTCTTTGAATCAAGAGACCTTTGCTAGCATCAAAGCACTAACTTTGAAAGAAACTCACTTAATTGCCAGCTGAATAAGAAAGAAGCTAAAAAATTTAATGAAGATATTTGCAAAATAAATGAGAATAAATAGAACTGCTATAACATGATATATATACTATACGTATACTTATACTTCTAAACTGTTGTATTCTGGGTATTATGTGTGAGTGAGGTGAAAGTGTTAAATGATGATGAAAGTATTTTTTTTTTGGGGGGGGGGGATTTTCTTTCTTTTTGGGTCACCCTGCCTCGGTGGGAGATGGCCAACTTGTTGAAAAAAAAAAAAATATACTATACTGTTCTATCTGCACACCTCTGGCAAGACAGTACATAATAGTATGAATGATGCTGAGAGTGTTTTCTTTCTTGGGTCACCTTGTCTTGGTGGGAGATGCCCAATGTGTTAAAAAAAAAAAATATGCTGTACTAATGCATTAATGTTTTTTGAATCTCATTGGCCATCTCCAACCAAGGAAGGGTGCCCTCCAAAAAATAAATTCAGGGTCATTCTTTCAATTACTGTCTTGGCAGAAGTGTGCCAACATTATAAATCAGATGACCTCTGAATTTATACCATAATAATTTTTACTAAGCCAGCTCTTTCTACTTCTCACTTTAGTCTAGTGTACCTGAAACTTATGAATGAATTCAACATAAATTAGGCACAACATTATGCAAAGATTATTTGAGTAATTATACTGGTACAACATTGATTTTCCAGACCTCTGGTTCCAAAGCCTTTCTGGATTACTGATTTTTCTTCCTTTAGACAGCGCAGTATTCCTTGGTCTTGGGGTTGGATAAGTGATGTACAGTTTGGTGGTAAATACACTGCCACGGGAATTTCAAGTAGCTGCTCGTAAATTTGTATGGTTACGGACCATCATTGTCCAGAAAAATCAATGTTGTACTTGTAATAGTCACTAAAAAACAAAAAACAAAACAAAAAAAAACACTAAAACTACTACAGCAAATTTACATAAGAGGCAGTGTCAGCTTCCAGAAGTTTGGATAGTATGAGAAGGCATTACTGTACTTAATAATGTCAAAACTCCCTTGTCTCATGAGAGCCTAAAATCTTACTGTTTTATTAATGGAAGAAGTTGAGTAGTGAGGATATAAGTGCCAAGAGTGTTTGTCACAAAGTTTTTCTCCAGGTTGTCTTCTGTTAATTCTCTTATGTTGAACATGCATCCAGCATTATTAACCTGTAAATATGTTTGCTTACTTAATTACAGTAAATTATAAAATGAAAATTTCCAGTTACTATCATCTCACTAAATTCACCTCAGAATGCTTTGTGTCTATTAACTTTGAATCAAATAAAAAACTGCAATTTTCTAAGTTAAAATGTATAAACTTAAAGAAGATTTGGAGGGCTGATTGTATGTATATAATCAGGACATAAATTTCTATCAATTAAAAACTGGAATACAGTTTTACTGCCAGCAACCTTTAAGAATTAATGATATCCAATGCTCATAAAAAATGGAAAATACTGTTATAATAAAGCAGATACAATTACTAGTCAATCTTCCATTGAACTACTGTACTTACTAGTACATGTAAGCTTTCATTGTTTTTACAGAAGTCTTGAGCAAACTTGTGTACATCCCTGGGCTTCGATAAGTCGAGGATGTGCACAAAGATATTCTGTAGATACAATACATGCAAAAAAACAAAAAAAAAGCTTTACTTATTGCATATCTAATAGAGTTGTATAAATTATTACAGGTAATCAAATATGGCTCTATAACCAAGGTAAGCACTGCTGTTCGTCTAGATTGGAATATGATTATTACCATTTAACCTAAAAAAAAAAAAAAAAATACTGTACAGTACAAAAATTACAGTACTAAAAATTTACAATTTACTGACACTTTTTTAAACCAGTTCTATCAAAAATTATTTTATAATAAACATGATTAAGTGAAACCTACAGCAAGTAGCTACAATCAGCTATATGACTTGTGGATTTAACATGAACATTCACCTCCTAAAGTGACTTGTAAATTCCCATGCATACATTATAAAATGCTTTGTTCCATACTAAACAAGCTGCACTAGTGTTGTGAATTTAGAAAGATACAAAAAACACTACATTCCATAAATTTTGTTTGAGGGAAAAATACCGAATTATTGGATGCATCAATTATATCTTGTTTGGCTTCTTCAGCAGAGGATGGGTTGCGACACACCATGTGAACTGTTCCTCCACGTTTGGCTATTTCTGTAGCTATGCACTTGCCAATTCCACTGTTTGCACCTGTAAAGAAATTAAAGCTTTCGAGATAGTAACTACAGTTATAGCAATTGTACATTTTAAATACAGTGGACCCCTGGTTTTTGTCCTTAATCTGTTCCAGAAGGTTGGTCAAAATCTGAAATGGACGAAAACCAAAGTAATATTTCCCATAAGAAATAATGTAAATCCAATTAATCCATTCCAAACACCCAAAAATATTAACAAAAAATACATTTTATAGAGAATATCTATAGTTTTACATACAGAAAACAATAAAAAATAAATATAAAGCACTAATTTTAATGGATAAATGAACGTTTAAATCACTTTTACCTTTACTGAAGACTGTTGTTGGCATATTCTTTATGAGATCCGTATGCAACTGCCTTGCCTTTTTTCAAATTATCGCTTCCACAACACTATCTCCTGCTAACTGTTTTTTGTTAATCCACACCAACAACTCAACATCTTCAATTGTTTGCCATCACTACCACCATTACTACCACCCTCTACCATGATCACAACCACTACCACCATCACTACCACCCTCTACCACCATCACTACCACCCTCTACCATCATCACTACTACCCTCTACCACCATTACCCCTCAAGGAAGGTTCCTTGATGTTGGTGAGGGGCTCTTGATTTAGGGAATTAGATCTGTGCTCCAGTTCCCCGAATTAAGCCTGAATGCCTTCCACATCCCCCCCCCCCAGGCGCTGTATAATCCTCCGGGTTTAGCGCTTCCCCCTTGATTATAATAATAATCTACCACCATCACTACCACCCTCTACCACCATCACTACCACCATCACAACCATTACCACCCTCTACCACCATCACTACCACCCTCTACCACCCTCTACCATCACCACTACCACCCTCTACCACCATCACTACCACCCTCTACCACCATCACTACCACCCTCTACCACCATCACTACCACCCTCTACCACCCTCACAGAACCAGTGACAGAGGCAGACTGAGTCACATCCCAGTGCCCCGGCCAGGTGGACGTGTCTGATACAGATGATTTCCAAGCAGAGGTACGAAACCCCGGGTAAAATTTCGCCGAAAGAAGTGGTTGAAAATCCGAACTGTATGATATCCGCACCGGACGAAATCCGGGGTCCACTGTATTTTCAATGTACAATTACACCAAAAAATGCAAGGGAGACATTATAAATTTCCTTATTTCATTTCTATTTTTTCTAACGCTGAGTTTCTAGCACAATATGTCTAGCACAATATGCTCTAGACACCTTCCCTAATTAGTGCACTTCACAATGACACAACGAAGCACCACCTGTCTTCAGTGTGGAGAAAGTGTGCACTTCATATTGATACAACATAAGCACTACCTGTCTTCAGTATGCACTTCACACTGGTACAACATAGGCACCACCTGTCTGCCGTGTGAAGAAAGTGTGCAAGTATGAGAGGTGTATCATTTATACATGACAAAAGGGAAATTAGTATGAATCTATCAGCAGTTACATTCCACAAGCTGAATAGATGTAACATGCTTTATATCCCAATTGCTTTTGTTAGTTATATATGTTAAACAATATCATTAAATTATTAAAAAAAAACATTGTAACTTCTTTTATGAAAGAATTAAAATAATAAAGGAAAAGGATTACGAGACTAAAACGTCATATAATCCAAGAGAAAAAAAATATTTTCATAGCTTGAAGATACTGTGCTGTATATAGTATTTTAAAGCCTCATATGAATCCACTGAAGGCAAAAACCACCATATAAAGGTCCTCCAGCTATCCATACCAACATATGACTTTTCAGCTAGTTTCTCCTCCCACAAACCATAATTTACATCTCACACCAGATGTACAGTGCTTTTCCAGAATCTTTTTCCAAGAAATTAGGTTACAGTCAAATGCATTTTATAAAAATATAATCCTATCCCATCTCATACATGGAGAAAATACTGCATTACATTTGCGAGCACAACTAATGCTCACCCGTTATCATATAATGGCGCCCACTGCAATCCACTTCCAGGTCATCTTCCTTGAACATCTTACTGGCAGACAGGAACCCATTCCTAATAAACGTTAACAGATAACAGAGATACATTTAAGAAAAAATAAAGACTTTCTTGGTTTGAAAATAATTAGGATATAAAAATTTATTAAACTATTCCTACCCATCTCTCAAAGTTATCGTCAAACCAGAAAGAGCACAAGTGAGGCACATATACACTCTACTAGCAAGCAATGCCCACTCTATTAACAATAGCCACCATGGATTACTGCCACAAAAATCATTACCCTATTTTTTACCATTTTGGGAAACCTACTTTTTACACTTTACATATTAAAAGTATTGCACAGTACTGTAATTATTTTATAAAATGAGCTCCATCCTGTCAAGGTGGCATCTTACACTTCCATCTTTAACAATTCTGGCCCCTTACATCAGTAGGTAATAAATGGTTGCTGTAGGTGAATGTAAACTCTACAGACCCAGCTCTACCAACAGTGTACAGTGGACCCCCGCATAACGCTATTAATCAGTTCCTGAGAGCTCAATGTTATGCGAAATTATCGTTATGCGAATTAATTTTCCCCATAAGAAATAATGGAAATCAAATTAATCCGTGCAAGACACCCAAAAGTATGAAAATTTTTTTTTTTACCACATGAAATATTAATTTTAATACGCACAAACTTAAGAAAATATGCACAGTTACATGACACTTACCTTTATTGAAGATGTGGTGATGACTGATGGGATGGGAGGAGGGGAGACTGGATGGTTTTAGTGTTTAGAAGGGGAATCCCCTTCCATTAGGACTTGAGGTGTCAAGTCCTTTTCCGGGGCTGCTTCCCTTCTTCTTTTAATGCCACTAGGACCAGCTTCAGAGTCACCGGACTTCTGTCGCATTACATATCTGTCCATAGTGGCCTGTACCTCTCGTTCCTTTACGACTTTCCTAAAGTGTTTCACAACACTGTCAGTGTAATAGTCACCAGCACGGCTTGCAATAGCTGTCTGAGGGTGATTTTCATCCATGAAGGTTTGCACTTCAAGCCACTTTGCACAGATTTCCTTAATCTTTGAAGTAGGCAACTTCTTCAATTTCTCTCTCCCCTCATCCGAAGCAATTTCCTCAGGTGTGGCCTCTTGCTGTTGAAGTTGATCTATCAGCTCATCAGTGGTTAGTTCTTCATTGTCCTCCTCCACCAACTCTTCCACATCCTCCCCACTAACCTCCAACCCCAAGGACTTCCCCAATGCCACAATTTGATTCCTCAACTGGCATAGGATTCTCAGGGGTTAGCCTCAAATCCTTCAAAATCCCTTTGGTCTACACATTCTGGCCACAGTTTCTTCCAAGCAGAGTTCAAGGTCCTTTTAGTCACTCCCTCCCAAGCCTTACCTATAAGATTTACACAATTGAGGATATTAAAGTGCTCTCTCCAAAACTCTCTTAGTCAATTGAATTTCTGAGGTCACTACAAAGCACCTTTCAAACAGAGCTTTTGTGTACAGTTTTTTGAAGTTTGCAATAACCTGCTGGTCCATGGGCTGCAGGAGAGGAGTGGTATTAGGAGGCAAAAACTTCACCTTAATGAAGCTCATGTCCCCACAAAGTCGCTCTGCCAAGTCTGTAGGATGACCAGGGGCATTGTCTAACACCAGGAGGCACTTAAGGTCTAATTTCTTTTCAGTTAGGTAATTTTTCACAGTGGGGGCAAATGCTTGGTGTAACCAGTCATAGGAAAAGTCCCTAGTGGCCCATGCCTTACTGTTTGCCCTCCACAGCACACACAAATTAGCCTTGAGGATATTCTTTTGCCTGAACGCTCTGGGAGTTTCAGAGTGATACACTAATAAAGAAATAAAGGCTTCACTTTGCAATCACCACTAGCATTGGCACACATGAGAAGAGGAAGCCTGTCTTTCATAGGCTTATGTCCTGGGAGTGCCTTTTCCTCCTGAGTAATGTAGGTCCTGCTTGGCATTTTCTTCCAAAACAGGCCTGTTTCGTCACAATTAAACACTTGTTCAGGTTGCAGTCCTGCACAGTCTATGTACTCCTTGAATTCATGCACATATTTTTCAGCTGCTTTTTGGTCCGAACTGGCAGCCTCACCATGCCTTATCACACTATGTATGCCACTACGCCTCTTAAATCTCTCAAACCAACCTTTGCTGGCCTTAAATTCACTCGCATCACCACTAGTTGCAGGCATTTTTCTAATTAAATCCTCATGCAACTTCCTAGCCTTTTCACTTATGATCGCTTGAGAGATGCTATTGCCTGCTATCTGTTTTTCGTTTATCCACCCCAAAAAAACATCTCTCAACATCTTTTCCTTGCGATCTCGTTTCAAAACCAGTTAAACCTTTGCAAAAAAACAGTTTCCTTGTTTCCCGTTCTCTTGGCCAATAAAAGCGAGGTTGTTTGGGGTTTTTACTAAAAAACCTCCCCCAGCTCGGAACACCACTCCACTTTCAACGAGCAAATTTCTTTTTTTCTTATCTCCATAGTTTTTCTCACCCTTATTCCTGTAGGTTGGCACTAGAAGCTTTCTTGGGGCCCAGGGTCATTTTTTTTTGGTAAAAATCACTATAAAAAGGCTGTAATTAAATACAAAAATTTTCCCATTGTTGCTAGAATTTTTCCCAGGAGGCTGGCTTCTAAAAAATGCCAGGGGGGCAAAAACAAGTGAGGCGGCTCAGGCCGATGGACGTGTCTGGGAAAAATCGCTTTGAGCGAATTTTTTGCACTATGCGAGGAAAAATTTTTAGCGATAAAATGTATCCTATGCGGATTTAACACTGCGATGAAAACGTTAGGGGGGGGGGGTCCACTGTCTGTGATCTAATGGTACTAGGATACTGAATTAAATTATAGTTAAGTTATAATGGTGTATCAGGGGGATGCTGACTTTATTTCATGCACAAACATTGTAGGATTCATATATCGATAAAAAATTTAAAAAACTAATAAAACACAGCCAATTTTAAACCATACTGGGGTTTTCAAAAATTCTTCACTTAATTAAAAAGGGAGTTCATTAAAGCTTTTGCTAATATTACTACCCAGCTATTATTTATACAGCCCAGTATAGCCAGGGAAAGTGGGAAAAGGGCATTCTTTTTATGCAGACTTATATTATGGTTAAAAATTATAAAAAATTTTCTAGTTAAAATGTGATAAACGGTGTGGGCGCTACAAACAGTGGGTTTGGGTAGACAAAAACCTCCAGGATATTACTTCTGTTTTGCCATACAATATGAAATTGAAACCTGTTAAATTTTACATTTGGCAAGTTTGCAATCTTTATTTTTTCTCATGAATCATAGGAAAAGGGTAAATTTTATAATTCTTACATTTACTATACACATCCCTTACTTTTCTTTTCTTCTTAACCCCTTTAAATATTTCCTCCCCAACCTAAGAAAACCTGGTCGGAATGGGCATAAAGTAATTCCAAAATCCCTAACAATAACCTTGAACAAAATTTACCTATTTGTAGGTGCCTAGTTTTTAAAGGGGACATTTTTAAGAATTTTCCTGCTGCTGCACAACTTTTTTACTATCACGGGGAGTTCTTATCAGTACGGGGAAACCCAAGAGACCCAACAACGTAATTTTAAAAGGAGATTCCTTTTTATTTGATAGGTTTACCTGGCACAATCCTTGTCCATTAATCCTCTCGGGGGTCTGTCCCGTTTTTCTGGGTTTTGAGTTGGGGGCCCAAACCGTAGATCTCGCCTGGCTCAGCTCACTTGATAAGCTGTGAGGGGAAAATTTTGGCCTAGATTGAGAGAATTTCACTGGTATGTGTCCTACATAAAACAAACCCTGCAGCACCAGTGCATAATAGAAAAAAAACAGAGACCGTAATGTTTTATTTTTAAAAAAGGATTTGCAGTGTTTTTTTTTATATGTTTTTTATGTTGTATTTGGATTTATGGTCCATTTTGATAGAATGGAAGTATATTTCAGAAATAGAGATGTTTTTTATTGGTTTTTAGTATGGAAATGGCTTAAAGAGTCAATGTAGCAAAAATGTTAAAATTTTTTCCCTTTTTCAAGAGGGAAAAAAATGACCTCACAGTCTAAACTGCCAGCTGGGGGGTCTAAAATTAAATTCACAAATGTGGTGATGTTTTTTATACAATTTTTACAAAATTGCATAAAATAAATCTTTTTTTGGTTTAAAAAAAAATTCATTATGTGAATAAAAAATCAAAGGGTTTCATTTGAAAATGTAACTAAAGAATAGGGATATCTTGTTTAGTGCCAGGAAAGCCTAAATTTTTTTCTGGACCCTATTTTGAAATTGGAATATTCTGAACTTTTTCGTTAAATTTGGCCAAAAATTTCCAAATTTTTGATCGCTTTATTTTGTAGTTGAAAAAAATTACTTGGTGTTTCTTGTGCTCAATTGTAAAAAGAAGTAAAACTATAAAAAAAACTAAGAATTTGGCCTTAAAATGGGGGTCAAAGCAGCAAAAATCGCCCATGCATTTTAAAATTTGCTGCACACCAAAATTCGCGAACATAATTTTGTCAATTTTTTCCTTTAAAATTTTTGACTTTTTGTTTTTTACCTTCAGAAAAAAAATTTTTACCCTTTTATAAGAAAAAAAAAACAAAATTTTTTTTGAAAATTCTTGGGCCGGTGCACACCTTTTAAATTTGGCCTCTGGACCCCGAAGGGTTAATGCATAAAGACCCAAAGCGTTTCTTAATACAATAATTATGTTATTCGATCTTGCAAAAGAAAAAAAACAAAAAAGTAATTTTAAAGCAATTTTAGGTAAAAATGACTAGGTTTATTCTCATGCCAGTGAAGGGAATAGCAGGGCTGAAAAGAAAATGATTAAAAATTGAGAAATGAAAAAGGGCATAAAGGGGAAAGTGGTTAAAATTAATCACATCTATAAAAAAAGTCAATCAAATGTTTTGGGAAGGGGTTTGAAATAAATAAAAAAGTATTTTGGGGAATTGAACAACTTTGGGAGTATGTACTCATTGTACTAACCGTTGATCCCTTTTGCTGTACAAAAAAATGGAAATAAATTGCAGTACGACATACCCAAACCCAAATCAAAGTATTAGGGCATTTAAT